GGGGGGGGGGGGGGGGGGGGGGGGGGGGGGGGGGGGGGGGGGGGGGGGGGGGGGGGGAGAGGACAACGACCAAACATTTTCGGCGGAGAGTCAGCGCAAGAGAGCAAGCAAAATTATTTCTAATGCTGGATTGTTGTGGACTCGACTCTGCCATTCTTGTTCCTGCACTTGTGACATTGTTTGCAATGTACAGCCGACGAGAACGCTGCTCTCAAGCCTCGCGCATAGAACGCCAGGCGTAGGGACTTTTCCCGCTGCGGGCACCAGCACAGCAAACAAGTGGCCAAGCAGACCGTGCAGATGCACAGGTAGTTCCGAGCAAAATTAACGCTGTTGACCAGTCCGATGCAATTGCCCTGCGCATGGAACGGGTAGACCGCGGGTGCATGCCACATTTGGCCCGCAGAACAAGCTCCTTTCAAGTTTCCCGCCAAAAAAAAAGTGTACTCAGCTGCAGACCCAGGTTTGGACGTAGGCACTCGCTGAAAACGGTTTCCGTTAGTTTCAACACAACTACCCGCAGAACAACTTCTCCACATCGTCACTCGCACGCAGAAACGTTTTCCATTAGCCACCAGCTCTCTTTTTCCCATGAGCCAGTTACCTACCTGCAGAACACGTGCTTGCAGATGCACTCCATGCCTGTCCACTCCTCCGCAGGCGGGGCCCTTACGGCGCTAGGTTCATCCATCACGGAGTTGTACGCTTGCCGCAGGCTCTCGTACTTTTCGTGGCGGCCTGACAGCACCAGGCACGCGAGGGTGCAGTGCGCCAAGTGCGTCCTGGGGATCGAGGAGCCGGAGAGGAAAAGAAGAGAAGCAAGGAGGTACGATACACAGCAAAGGAGAGAGTCGAGCCAATGCATATGAAGGGGAGGTATGTATCACTTCTGCATGTTGCCATGACATTGACAGAAACGTAGGTCGGTCATACGACACCCGTGAATTGATATGAGAAGAAAGACCGCGGGGATCCTTGTACTTTTACAGCGTGCACTGTCAGTGATGGTACGTGATGTAATGTAGACGGGGGGAGGGGGGGTAGCCATAGTCGTGCATCCCGTAGTCGTTAGACCATTGACCTCGCATCCCTACAAAGCCGGGACGGAGCACGCCGGGTTCTCACCGGACCAGGCTCTCACATCACC